AGGCCTAACAATCCCACACATTTATATGCCTAATAACAGAGCTTCAAAATGCACGACTATGCAACCTGTGCCGGCCCAGGGCCTTCACGCTGTTTGCACTCAGGTCCTTCTGCCCCCGATAATCCCGTGCTGGCTCTTTGCTAACACTCGGCTCTCAGCTCACACCTCCTCCCCCTCCTCCTAAGGCCTTCCCAAAGGCCTTGCACCACCCAACCCCTCCACATCCTGTTACCCAGTCCTCTCCTTCACCGTCTATCCGCTGTCCTATCGGAAATTACCTTGTTCTCTGGGACTTTATCTTGCATGACCTTTTCACTGCTGAGTCCCCATGCCTAGAGCGGTGCCTGGCACAAAGCACATGTTCAGAAAACTGCCTCCTGCCTTGCCATGTGCTCACATGCATTCAATTTGGGCTACAGGATTATGATGAGAGGCAGACATGAGGAGAAGGGGATGGATGGAGATTACAATATGGAGGCAAAATGGGTACGTCCCGTGGATCACCGAGAGGTGATGGGGCAGAATGTGGTAGGATGGGCGGGCTAACAGCCTTATCCACGGAGAGGAAGGAGAAGAATGGGATGCAGTGTATTTTTTGGCAGCCCACCCAGGTCCTGCACCCTCACTGTGGCTAAGTGACTGCTTTGGCCCTCCTGGCCAGCTGTGGAAGCTCTAGGTGACTAATCCATCCCCACTATGGCTAATTCATTGGGTGACTTTCATTTATGGGGCTATGTCTGCTCTTGGATAAAACAGCTTCCAGATTAGAGGCTCTTTGGGGACTAGACTGCGTGTGGCATACTAGTGACCTAAGACTGAGCAGACTCTCACCTGGAGGGAGAAGGTTAACTGGAGCTCTGTTTCCACCAGCCCACTGGCTGGAAGGATGATCTCGTTGGAACGAAGAATCCTTTTTGAACCCTGAAATCAAGAAAACACTATGTCATAGCTGTGTCACCAAAAATCGAACTGAAAGAAATACTATGCTTGCAAACAACTTTTAAACTCTACATTCTCACCAGTCCAAATATTTCACCAGTCTTTGTTGTATTAAAATCAAAGCAACACCATAGGTATATTTTACATGTATTATGCTGTACATTCATAAAGGGTTTCCACATTAAAATAATGTTATTGCATCAGAGTTCTCCTAACACCCCAGAGGAAGAGGCAGGCTGGTGCCAGTCCCCCAGGGTGTGGAGGGACCTCCCCACACTCACTTCAGCCTACCTCCCCCTCTCTAATCGACACTTCAGCAGCACTGTCCTGTCTTTGGGCCTTTTCACATGCCTCTTCCTTCTTCTTCTCAGATGCCCTTTCAGGCTTCTGTACACAGCTAACCAACTTGTCTTTCAGGTCTCAGCTCAGATATAATATTTTTCCAGGAACCATTCCTTTTAGCCACCCCCTACCCCCTCCAACTTCAACTGGGTTAGAAACTAGTGTTTTTAGGTCTAAAAAAAAAATAAAGTTAGGCCAAACTATTTCTAAACTATAAAAAGAGACACACAGGAGGGTCTGAGGAATGCCAGTAAATTTCTATAAACTATTTTTTATATTGAGGTCTGATTTAAATACAGTGAAGTGCTCAGGTCTCCGGTGCACAAACTGATGAGTGGACAGATGCATATACCGTGTAACCCATACCTGTATTAAGCTGTAGAACACTTCTTTTGCTCTGGAAAAATTCCCCCCGAATCTCCCCAATCTTGCACCACTCCCAGAGGAAGGTACTGCTCTCACTTCCTTCACCATAGCTTAGTTTTGCCTGCTCTAAAATTCCACAGATATGGAACCATCAGTATGCACTATTCTGGTAGGGCTTCTTCCGCCCATCATAAGGCATTTGAGGCCGGTACAGATCGTTGTGTGTATCAATCGTTCATTCCTTTTTACTGCCAGAACTCTAGCTTATGGATATGTGTACCACACACTGTTTATGCATTCTCCTGTTGCTGAACATTGACATCTGCGTGGTTTCTAGTTTTTGGCCATTATGGCTAAAGCTGCTGTTCTTGTACAAGGCTGTGGGGACATGTGTTTTGCTTTTTCTTGGGCAAACGCCTAAGAGAGGAACTGCTGGGTCTTAGGGCAGATGTCTGTTTAACTTTATGAGAAATTGCCAGACTGAGCCCCCACAGCGTCGGTGCCACCTCACACCCCAGCAGTGTGCAAGCTTCAGCTGCCCCACATCTTCACCAGCACTCATGGTCAGTCCTTGATTCATGGATCCTAATGGGTGCGTGCAGTGGAATATCACTGTGGTTGCAATTTGAATTTCCCTGATGACTAGTAATATTGAGCACCTTTTCATTAGTTCATTGGTCATTTGTAAATTTCCGTTTATGAAGTACATACTTGACCAAACTTCTTTGCCCAGGTTGCTTATTGTGTTAAGTAGTAAGCTTTTTAACTTATACATGACATTATCAGATATATGCATTGCAAATAGTCTGCCTACTCATTTTCTCAATCTTTTCATGAAGTATTTAATTCTGATCTAGCTGACTTTATTTTTTCTCCTATGTTTAATGCATGCTGGGTTCTAGCTGAGAAATCGTGCCCACTCCAAGGTTGTGGAGTTATTCTGCTGTACTGGAGCAGATATTCTGTTATTTTATTTCCTTTAGAAATTTAAAAATTTCATTTCTTACTTTTAGGTTTGTTATCCATTTCTAATTTTTTAAAATAAAATGCAGATTTTGTTTAATACAAGAAGGAAAATCTCCTAAATGCACTTCACAATGTTTTGTAACTAGAACAGCATTATACCAATTAAAAATAAGAAAGGAGCCCGGCCGGGCATGGCTCAGAGGTTGAGCGTTGACCTAAGATCCAGGTGATCGGGGTTCAATTCCCGGTCAGGGCACATGCCTGGGTTGCGGGCTCGATCAATGACTCTCTCACCATTGATGTTTCTATCTCTCTCTCTCCCTCTCCTTTCCTCTCTGAAATCAATAAAGATATATTTAAAAAATAAAAGAAATAAAATAAGAAAGGAAACTCTGCTTTATCTGTTAGAAAAGGCTTTTTGTAGTAACCTCTATTACAAACAAGAATCTTGACAAAGTTTTCACCTGAGTTTATTCAGGTTTTTTTGTTTTTGTTTTTGTGTGTGTGTGGTTTTTTTAAAAAAATATGTGTTTATTGATTTCAGAGAAAGGAAGGGAGACGGGGAGAGAGAGAGAGAAACATCAATGATGAGAGAGTCATCACTGATCGGGTGCCTCCTGCACGCCCCCTACTGGGGATGGAGCCCACAACCTGGGTATGTGCCCTGACCGGCAATCAAACAGCAATCTCCTGGATCGTACAATGCTCAATCACTGAGTCACACTGGCCAGGCTATTTAGGCTTTTGATTTAAGCAATCTTTGTAATATGCAAGTCACAAATGCTGGGAATAATTCAAAATGTGGTTTATATATATTTCTGCCAGGGGCAGAAGACACCTGACATTATTTAGATATATTTCTGGTTGTTACAACTGATGCATATGTGACATTTCTAGCGAGTAGAGGCCAAGGCTGCTGCTGACCATCCCACAATACACAGGACAGCCCCACAACTAAAACCTGATCACCCCTGAAGACCCTGCTTCCTGGGAGCCCTCTCAGATGGTGGCTGCTCTCCCACAACCCACGCACCACTGGGCCTGGAGGTTGCACAGTCATCCTCTTGCTGCTCATCACCAGCTACAAAACATTCTCCCTTCCACCTCCCTAAAAAGTCCCCCTTTAAATTGATGTCATAAGTTGGTATTATCATCTATTCCTTGCTGCTGCTGTCACCCAGAACTGCCAGTCATTCCTGCTCATGTATTGATTTTGGCTCTTCACTCACTGTTCCTCTCCCCAACACTACTCCAGCCATAACGCTTTATTATTTCAATATACGTATGATCTTTCCAACACCCTGACCTCTAAATCCCACAGTTCCTCTTCCAATGACCTTGTCCTCACACTTGTCCTAGCTACTCACTCACATGATCATACTCGGGACCTTATCGTTACCAATAATTAGATCCAATACTTACTCTCAGTTTTATGCATCCCACTCACCCTCTGGTTGGCACCTCCCATCTTTTCAGCTCATTCTCTGTAGTTTGTCAACAATGATAATCCTTCAAACCCACTTCCTCATGCCCGCTGTCCCTCCCTTCCTCCTTGCCCAGCTTAAATGCCATCGTCAATCTTTATAAACAGGTCCTTGTCCCTGCCCTTACCTCCTTTGCCTGCTATTGTTCTGCCGTACTCATTTGGTCAATTACAACCCTGTTTAAATCCACCGCACCAGCTGAACATGCCTGGAGAGAATCATATAATCAGGCTAACTTCTGACTAAACGTATGGCCCCAAATGGTGAGTAGGCCTGCACCGCTGCCGGGCAATCACCCGCACTCTCTAAGCCCTTCTACTTTCCACTCTACTGGATGATTTCCTTTCCTCAAACCTCCCGCACCTCCTGACCCCTTCCTCACTCTAAGCCAATAACCCTGAGCCCCACTTTGCTGAGAAACCTGAAACACCAGGAAGAGAGCTCCCACAGCCCCCACCATTCACCTAGGTCCTGACCACGTTTGTACTCACACTCCCTCCCTCCCGGGACACAGATGAACCCTGTGGCCCGTTGGCTGCCCCACCTGCGATCTCACCCCCTCTCACCTACGCAGGCTGCTCTAGCACCCTTCCCTCGCCTACACAAGCAACCTTCTTCTCTGTTCTGAATCATCTCCCTTAGCAACAACATGCCGTTATTTCTCTCAAAAAGAAGTCCTCTGCCAGGCGTGGCTCAGTGATAAAGCATCGACCTAGGATCCAGGAGATGGCGGTTCGATTCCCGGTCAGGGCACATGCCCAGGTTGCGGGCTCGATCCCCAGTTGGGGGGCGTGCAGGAGGCAGCGGATCAATGGCTCTCTCATCGATGTCTCTCTCTCTCTCCCTCTCCCTTCCTCTCTCTGAAGTCAATAAAGATATATTTAAACAACAACAAGTCCTCTCTAGTCCCCACATGCCCTGCTGGCTACCACTCCTACCTCACCTTCCTTTTATAGCAAACTCAAGAGTTGTCTATTTTTTCTCTCTTGAAGTTGTCTCTCATTTCCTCTTAGCCTTCCTCTACCACCATTCTGCCCAAACTGCTCCTGACACGGTCTCAGCTAACCTCCACTTGGAGGAACCCGACCATCTGTCCTTGTCTTCCTGGGCCTACCTGCAGCTTTGACAGTCGATCACTCTCTACGTCCAGCAACCTTCCTTCATTTGGCTTCCAGGACACCAGACTCATCTGGATTTCCTCTCACCCTCTCAATGCTCCTTGGATGCAGATCCTTCTCCCCGACTTCTTAATATTGGGGTGCCTGGAGGCTCAATCCTTAGACATGCTCTTCTTTATATTCACTCCACCCCCGATGATCTCATCTAATCTTATGGTCTCAAATATGTTGATAACTCTCCAAATGATTTCTCTCCCCTGAGCTCTAAACACACATTCACCTCTCTCTCTATTGGGCACCTCCTCCTGATGTGTAACAGGCTTCTCGAACACACTGTGATAACCTGAATTTTGAATCTTTCCCTCCAACCCTGTTCCACCCACAGTCTTCCCCATCTCACTCAGTGGCATTTCCACCCTACCAGTTGCTTAACCCAAAAGTCTGCCACCACCTTCCTTTCTTGCCAGAATCACCGCCGTAGCCTATTACTGGTCCTCCTGATCCCTCTTTCAGTCTATTCACCACACAACAGCCAGAGAGGTCCTAACACTTTCCTGTTCAAAACCCTCCAATTCACACAAAACGAAAGCCAGAGGCCTGGCAATAATCTGCACACATCCTCCCCCTCCCTGTTCAACCTCATCTCTGCTGTTCTCTCTCCTCTCCAGCCTCACTGGCCTCCCCCTCCACCCCCTCGATCCCGCCAGACAAGCTTCCCAGACACATTCCGGCCTTGGGGCCTTGTCTTGGCGTTTCCCTCTGCCTGGAATGCTCTTCTTCCAGATATCTGCATGGCTTCCTTTCTCACCTCCTTCAGTCTTCCATGAGGCCTACCCTGACCACCACGTATAAGTTGTCATTTGTAACGCCTCCCTTCTTTCAACATAAAAATGGTGTTCCACAAAAAAAAGCAGTGACTTGACTTTACCACTTGCTGCACAGGCACTTGTCCCCAATAAGAGCTGTTGTCGCTATGAAGCAGAAGTGCTTCGTGCAGATTTCCCATTTCCTCACATACAATATTAAAAAGGCATGGACTGCACGCTGAGATATAGTAAATTAACTATCTTCCTACTTCTTCAAGGACTTTTTTTTTTTTTAAATATATCTTTATTAATTTCAGAGAGAGGAAGGGAGAGGGAGAAAGAGAGAAACATCAATGATGAGACAGCCATTGATTAGCTGCCTCCTGCACGCCCCCAACTGAGGATCGAGCCTGCAACCCGGGCATGTGCCCTGACCAGGAATCGAACCCTGATCTCACAGATCCTAGGCCTACGCTCAACTGCTGAGCCACGCCCGGCGGGTTCAAGGACATTCTTAAGCAAAACTGGCCTTTTTTCTCTTCCTTTGAGTCGGATGGTAAACAATGCAGTAACTACCAGCGCAACTGGGGCAACTGCCTGGCCGAGCACTGAGGACCTGCTGCTTTACTCACCATCTCGCACTTCAATGCAAATGTCACCACAGGGGAAAAGGCAAAAAACGTCCAGTATGAGGACTGCCTCTGATCTCAAGTCTCTCCTGAAAGGGGTTTAGGGAGCCCAGGGTCTGCAAACTCATTTTGAGAACTGCTCTACCAGCATGCAAAGGTCCTTAAAGGCAGGGATTTTGGTCTGTTTTGTTCACTGCTATATTCCATGACTCGAACAATGCTTGGCATAGAACAGATGCTTAATAAATATTTTTTAAATGAATGAATAAGTGAATAAATGACTGGATATATGAATGTGGTAACATCTGTAATTACTTTCAGCTGCTTGAAATAAAGAAATAAAAAATTCAGGATATTTGCAGTTTTTTGGTATAATTTTAAATTTTAAAGAATGTTAAATGTTTAATTAGGAAGTAAAATAAGTTATTTCTTTTGGCAGAGGCATTTAACTGTGGGGATGGCAAGCGCAGCAGGGAACTTTCAAAACCATACCAACAGCGTCTGCACTAGAAAGCAACAAAAGAAACACCCCCCCCCCAACTGGGACACTGCCTGTGACCTAAAAAGGGGAGCAAAATCAGGAAAGGAGGGAAAGATACCGAAAGTTCCCACTTGCACATAATCGTCCCACACTTGCTTTTGTCCCCGTACCATCTGGGGACATTCCACAGAACTGGGAAGAATTATGCACAGAGATGAACAGGGAGCTAGAGTATAAGGTGGGACACACAGGAATTCATAAGAAGTAATTAAAATGTTTTAAGTTTTGAGGACTAAATTAAGATAATTTTATCTCAGAAACAGAGCTGAGGACCTCAGTGTATGGTGCACATACTATGAGTGCTACAGATGTGGATGTTAATGAAGCCAACATTAGTATACAATAAATCGCTGTATAATAGCTGGTCTTGTTAATAAAATGTTCCGGTTAGTAAGGAGTTACCACACAGTTCACTATTTTTCAATGTGTAAGAATTCAATAAATACACCATTCTTAAACTGAGAATTCAATAATTATTTAATGACTCGAGGCACTTCAGAATCTCAGAAAACTCTAGGGAGTCATTAGAGAGGACTTATCAGTTAAGGAAGCTTCTGGTAATGGTGTTTAATGACCACATAAATTACCTGCTCTCTAGTTTCCAGCCCCACTCTGCCACTCGGTAATTAGCTGGCAGCAGATAAATTCCTTAACTTCTTTGTAGTTCAGTTTCTCCCTTCTTTCCTGAAATTCAGGAATGCTTAGAATATGAAGGCATGTAAAATATTTTGGGTCCCTTCAAGATACTGAATCAAGTATAAGGAGTTAAATGTGGGGATTACCCAGAATATAAAACATCCTAGTAAAATTTTAATTTCCAATTCTGAAATGATAATCTATAAATTTATTCTACCCTATAGGAAACCTCCAAAGAAAACCTCAATCCATGCATCTGCTTGGCCTAGAAATCCTGGGAATAACGCTGAAATTGACAGGAGCCACCCTAGTAGTTTCTGATTGATTTACCAAGCACCTGAGCATCTGTATCACTTTACCTTCATATGAATCCTGTTAGCTAGGCAGGGTAGAAAGAGCCATTTTTATTCTTCAGAAGAAGAGAGAAACTGAGGTTTAAAGAAGCTGAGAGCTCTAACTAAGAGTCAGCATTGGACTCACGAAGTCTCATGAGCTCAACTGTCTTTCCTGTTGCTCTTCCTTTGCTCAACGAAGGGAGAGGGTCTCTATCAGTATTTCTGAAGCCCCAACAGTGGGCAAAAGTTACCCAGTTTCCTTGACTCCTGAACAAATAATCCTGCTCAACTCACCTGTAGCTTCACAGCAATGACCACTGAGTTAAGATCTTTGTCCATTTCTTTTAACATGACGAGCTTCTTCAGGGTCAAGCTGAACAACCTAGAAAAATTTAAAGAAGATCCAGTCAAATGTAAGAAACTTATGAGAAAAGTGATTGACAATCTGTTGGGGAGGCACTGCTTTGTCTAAAGAATGTCAGAATGCCGTTCTCAGTCCAAACTGTGTCTTCCTTCAGGAAATGAGCATCCGTCCCTTTTACTTAACTTTTGTACTTGAGATGTCAGAGAGGTACATTATTCCATCAATCTCCTGGATGCCCGTTTATTTCAAGCCAAAACCAACATGTATGGTATTGAAGGAACTGAGAAAGAGATCACTGGAACAGACCAGAGCACCCAGAAACAATTCCACAATTCCACAATTCCACAGAAACTTGATATAAAAAAAGGGCAGAATTAAAATAAACTACAAAATTAAAAATAATAAATTTGGATCCTACCTCACACTAGATACAAAAATAATCTCCAGGTGGATTAAATACTTAATTGGGAAAGGCAAGATTTTAGGAGAAATATGAGAAATATCTTTCTGACTCTGAGGTAAAAATGGATTTCTTAACTAGGACCCTGAAAACACTGAGAAATTCAATTATGTTAAAATTAGGAATTTCTGTTCATCAGGAGACAGCACAGAGTTAAAACACAAATAGTGAACTTGGAAAAGATATTTGAAACTCGTAATACTGAAAAAGAGTCCAAAATATATAGAACTATAATTCAGTAAGAAAAAGATTGGCAAATCAGTAGAAAAGTAGGTAAAAGACACGAACAGATGTTCCATGTTTCCAGAAGAGGAAACACTAATGGCTAATAAATATACAAAAATATGCTCAACCTCATTAGGAATCAGGGAAATGCAAACAGAAATCAAAATATCATTTTACACCCACAAAATTGGCAAAACTGAGTGTAAGTGAAGATATGGCGCAATGGGAACTCATATGCTGCTAGTGGGCATATCAGCTGGAACTCAGGCACTTAGGAAACTGTCAGGCATCACAGATCCAGGAACGTGAAGCCAAACACGTGTGAAATCCAGACTCAGCAATTTCCCTTCTGGGGCAATGCTTGCCCTGAGAACCAGGAGACACACACACACACGCGCATCCACAGCCTTCGTTAGCTGTATGACCACGGGAAAGGCGCTTCACCTTCCTACTCCTGTTTCCTCATCTGTACAATGACTGTAATGCCCGGGAAAATAACCTCACAGCAGTAAGTTTCCGTTTATCCTGCCCCATCTTAGTGCTGTTATCCTGCTACATCGCCAAATACATCATAATCCCAGCAACAGTGTTATAATGTTTAAAGTCATGTTTATTAAAGAAATTAGAGAAGAAAAAATACATAGTCTTTTACATTCACCCACGTATTTACCACTTTTAGTGCTCATCTTCATCTCTTCCTATAGATCGGAGTTACCAGCTGGTCTCATTTTTCATAATTCCATAAACTCCTTCTAGAGTAAGTCTGCTGGCGATGGATTCTCTCAGCTTTTGTTTATCTGGAAATGTCTTTATCCTTCATTTTTGAAAGACAGTTTCTCTGGATATTGAATTCTTGGTTGACAGTTGTTTTCTTTGAATATTTGAATATATTGTTCCAGTGTCTTCTGACCTCCACTGTTTCTGGTAAGTTAGCCATATTTGTAACATTGATCATTTGTATGTAACGTGTCATTTTTCTGTTTTCAAGATTCTCTTTTATCTTTCATTTCAGCAGTTTGACTATGATATGCCTAATAGTGTTTTTCTTTGTGTTCATTCTGCTTAGAGTCTATTGAACTTCCTGGATCTGTAAATTAATGTTTTCTACCAAATCTGGGGATATTCATTTCTTCAAATGCTGTTTTCTGTCCCTTTTTCTCCTTCTGGGACTTCAATGACAGCTGTGTCAGACTACTTCATATTGTCTTACAAGTCTCTGGGGCTTTTTAAAAATATGTATGTTTTTATTGATTTTGAGAGAGAGAGAAACATTTATCAGCTGCTTCCCATTCACACCCCCACTGGAGTCTGAACGTGCAACCTGGGTATGCGCCCTGACCAGGAAATGAACCGACAACCTTTTGGTGCACAGGATGACACTCAACCAACTGAACCACCAGCCAGGGCAAGTCTCTGAAGCTTTGTTCACTTTTCTTCAGTCTTTTCCCCCCTCTTTTTAAATTAGGTAATTTCTATTGTCGTTTTCAAGTTTATATTCTTTTGTCTGTTATTCTAAAACTATTGAGCACATCTACTGAGTTTTTATTTTACTGTTTTATTTTAGCCCTAAAATTTCCATTTTTTTCAGTTTCCATTGCATTGTTGCAATTTCTCTCTGTTCACTTATTTTTCCTTTAATTCTCTGATCATATTTTCTTATAATTCTTTGATCATATGTATGTAGTTCCTTTGAAGCCTTTGCCTGTAAAATCCAACATCTGCACCCACTTCGACTATCAAAGCCAATTTCTATTGATTGCCTTTCTTCCTAAGTATGAGTTACGTTACACTTTTCCGTTTCTTTCTATGTCTAGCAATTGTAGGTTGAAAACTAGACACTGCAGATAAGATGATGTAGCAACTGTAGATTCTGCCGTGTCCTGAGGATTATTGTTTTTTTTATTCTAGTAGGCAGTTAACTTGCCTTGATGCAAACTATAAATTTGTCACTCCTGTGGTATGCAGCAGCTGATAAATCTGCTGTTCTTACAGCTTCTAGCTACTGCTTTTTTAGCCCGGCTCACTGGGGTGTCCCCAGCACCTGTGTAATTTGGCAGACAGCCCAAGATTTGGACAGTTTATACCCAGATTTCATGGCTCACACCCTGTGATTTTTGTGTTTTTGTGATTTCCCTCTAATTTTCCAGCTGTTCTGCCAGTCTCGGGTCTGTCTTCTGAAGCCAATAAGGCTTCAGCTTTCTATTGCCTGAACTGTGCAGTTTAGAAATGCACTCAGTTAAAAAAAAAAAAAAACCATCAAAGTTGCAGTTCTCAGATAGTATAGGTACGTCTTTCAAGGACGGACACCTCTCTTGCCTCTGCCTGTTTGTTTAGTTGGTTGGTTTTATTTTTGTTTTTGTTTTGCTGGGCCCACTGGGGGTCTCCCCTGCACATTTGTACTTTAACAGTTGTGATGGTTAATTTTAGGTGTCAACTTGACAGGGCTAGGGGTGCCCAGATAGCCTGTTAAACATTATTTCTGGGTGTGTCTGTAAGAATGTTTCTGAAAGAGGTTAGCATTTAAATTGAACTGAATAAAGCAGATGGCCCTCCCCAGTTTGGGTGGGTATCTTCCAATCCCATCTGGGTCTAAATAGAAACAAAGGTGGAGGAAGGGTTTGCTCTCTCTCTGCTTGAGCTAAAATATCTTCTCCTGCCCCTGGACATCAGCACTCTTGGACTCAGTTTGGGATTTATACCACCAGCTCTCTAATTCTCAGGCCTTTGGACTCAGACTGAATTACACCACCAGCTTTCCTGTTTCTCCAACTTGCAGACTGCAAATCGTGGAACTTCTCAGCTTCCATAATCACATGAGCCAATTTCTATAATAAATCTCCTCATATATGTATATCCTATTGGTTGGTTGTCTGCAGGACCCTGATTAATGATACAACAGTCAACTAGGGATTTGGGCAGAGTTTTTGTTTTAAATTGATTCCAGAGACAGGAAGGGGGGGGGAAAGAGAGAGAAACACTGATTGGCTGTCTCCCATGCATGCCCTGACAGGGAATCAAACCTGCCACCGTTCGGTGTACAGGACAATGCTCCAACCACCTGAGCCACATCAGCCAGGACTTGGGCAGAGTTTTTACTCAGATGCTGGGCCTCACCATTCCTGTAGTACTTTCTTGCCTCCAGGATTTCCCTCTTAAATTTCCAGCTGTTCTTCTCTCCCTGACCTCTCTAATCTGTCACCTCTTACCTATAAGGCTGCAGTTTTCCACTGTCATTTCAATCCACTGGAGTAAACCTTTTGGCAAAAAAAAGCCACAAACTTTCAAGTCTTGCTCCTTCCAATTACATATTTTAGGAGTAAACTCTCCTCCAGCATCTATCTGTTTTTGGATGATTTTAATAGTTTATTATATTTTGTTCAGATTTTCTAATTGTCCTTACGGGAGGATCTGAGCAACCACCTCAATCTACCTTCTTCACTGGGAGCTTCCTCTAATTCAACTGAGAATAATTTGCAATTAAATATACTTTTCAGGTTTTAAAATAACATCTTATCTGTAAAAAGCACAGTGCTATATACAAAACAATTATAAGTAAAAGTTTTAAAGTAATGAATATTAACATCTCAATGGTAAAGTCTTGATTGTCCTTGGAGAGTTATTAAGTCAAGCAGTCTCTGTTTCACATGTAATAAATCAAAGGTTGAAAAGGCTTGCAACCGTTTTTTTTTCTATTTTGATGAAAAGGATACAACATAAAAAAGAAAAATAGCCCAGGTCTCAAAATTAAAGAAGCTAGAGACTGGAATTCTGATCCTAGAAAACGGAATCTTTTTCCTGCCTAGGAGTCACCAAAACTCTGTTCTATATTTAGTAACTGGAGGACATGGGAAATAGAGCTCTTATTTGTTTTGGGTTTTGTTTTGATAGCAGCAATGGTTATTTTCGGGGGAGAGAAAGAATGTGGATTGAGTAACTGTACTGTAGATTACAGTATTAAATTCCAACTGCTGGATGAAATAATTACTACTTATATGACTAATAAAGTATAAATATTTACAGATGGCTTATCATGGGCAATGCATAACAGGAACAGAGAAATGGGATGGGGAGAAGTGAATAAATACAAAAAAGATCAGTTTTGCCCCAAAGATTTTTATAATGTACTAAATAGACACTTTTAAAACAAAAAAACAAACAGAAAACAATAGAAGAGGAATGCAGGAGGTGGAATGGAAGTAAAAGTGCTGTTTATAGCCTGAGTACCTGAAGGAGTAAACCTCACAATTCCAAATCACAGTTAACATTATGCTATAAGTAACTTTCTTTTTATCCTCACCGAAGGGTATGTTTTTTTATTGATTTTNTGACTAAAAGATCTGTCAAGGTAAGCACTGTTTTTATTGAGCAAAAAAGCCAATAAAGGGGTATATGGCAGTTCAAAAACAGCTACTATGGTACTTTTAGGAGCACAACAAGAACATGAAATTTATAATTTAATCTAAGAGGATGAATTGAAAACTACCCCTAGTTCTTTGACCACATATGATTACTTCACTCAATAGTGGGGTACAAAGGGGTTAAAATCAGCAATCTTCTTAAGGCTAAGAGACACTAAACTGGATGAGAGAACAGAAAAATGACTCAGCGGGACTCTGTCAACATTGTTAGAAACACTAGTCAAGAACAGTCCAGTTAACCACAGATCTGCTTAACAAATGGTATATTCAAATACATGATCAAGGACATTGTATTAGAAGTCTTTGTGATTTGTCCTCAGAGTGTGAGGAATTTTAGTGTTTTTGGCTAAAATGCACAAAATACAATCT